GCGCGATTATTTTTTTTTTCACGTTTATCAAATCGCTATTGATTTAATCTTTCGATTCGCGTACGGAGGAATCAGCCGATACGATCCGCTAATTAACAACGAATGAATGCTCGCCGTCTGTGGAAGCATCCACAGTTTTGCCGGCGTATCACGCGCTTGGGGCAGGATATAAGCAAATTAAATATGCATAATTAAAACGAAATAGCGACGGGAGAAACGTCGCTCGTGCGGTTCCGGCTGGCTCGAATCAGAGGGAAGAGGACTTAAGGCAAGGAACATTCTCGTAGCAACATCTGGTCGCTATGAAGTATAAAGAGGCATGCGATATCATCCGCAGTGAATGCTTAATTAAAACCTCAGACTCCTCAGCCACGGAGTTCCCCTTAGTCGCGCGCTAATCGCAAGAACCGCCGTTGCTGTTCAACACGAACCAGCTCTCTTTCGCGTATACGTACATATATCCTTGCAGTGTGACAATCTCTTATTAACAATGTCACGTTCGCTTTACGAATCATCTCCGACGATTATTTATCAATCGTAATATTTTCCACCGAATCATTCAATTTTAATATTATTTAACTGTATGAGCTTCAAATTAAGGTAGTTCTATCGTTTTTCACAATTCTTACGAATTTTTAGAAATTTTAATATGTTGTAGACGGAGTTAATATCTATCGATTACGAAATTTTGAAGTCGATTCATCGTTTAGTTTAACAGTTATTTACAATTAGAAATAGCATTTTTTCTATACACCACGTAAAAGGATGGCATTTTCATCACATTTTAATATATAACAATAGAACGGATCTTACGATTTTAATAAAAAACCAGTGGGATATACAATATGAGTGTGGGATTATTAAAAAAAAAAAAAATAAATAAATTTTTTCCACCGTTTAGTTTCAAAGATATTACTTTTTAAAGAAATGAATTTTTTTCCAAACGGAACATGGAGAGAAATTGCGATGATGATGTGTATTCATACATGAGCTGTTTCTATGTGAAGAGGTTCAAACTGTACAGACTCAACTAAAATTGTTGCTACGGTAACATTGTATATAAACGATGAATTTCCTTATCGATTAGAGGCGAAACTTTTAGTTGATATTGTAGCGATAGAACTACCTTAAGTGTTCATTTGATAGAAATTCAAGATATATCCAAAAAAAAAAAAGATTTTTAAATCGTACACTGTACACTTTGCGAGAAAAATTTCTCTTTCTTTTCACAATTTTTCCTCGCGTAAAACCGAGCAAGAATTTTTTTTAACAATCTCTCGGAAGCTACGCGATAATCGATAGGCGAGTTTAAAAAGCGGTAGTGAAAGTAAAGCGCTCTGTAGCATTTCCGGTGGCACACTAGCCGTCGAACGGGACGAGAGAAAATTTCACTTGGAACGTCTAACGAGTTCGCTTTTACCCCAGACGACGAAGAAGAAAAAGTTGGAAGAAGAGGGTCGAGTGGGGAGAGTGGAGTTTTAGGTACGAAAAGCGAGCCTCTCCGTTCCAGTGGAGCAAGGACCCGGCAAAGACCCGTTTCAGTGATCCGGGTGAGATTGACAGGTCGAGCCCTACTCGCGGACTCGTGACGGTTGGCACGGCTAAAATGGCGATGAAAGATGGTTTACTTTTTAATGGCGGATGCGCTACTTTCCTAGTACATATTTCTTTTCATAACTAATTATAACGATGAACTGTAACTTAGTCAATGTGTCAAGAGCTTCGAGATCTCTCTTTACTAAATTTTCTATACGGTGATGTCTGATCGATGCGATGCACATAAACAAAGTGCACGCTATTAAGTTGTTATAATGATGGATATTCGAATTATTATTGCGAAGAAGCAACACGCGGCAGATAGGTGTTTCACGCGCCACCCGATAGAGAGACGGCAACGTCAATATATATGCAAACGCCGATATAACGATCTATCGGTACGTAAATATACAAAGGGCGAGGATGAGCGTGGGAGAAAAAGCGATGGCACGAGAGAAGGGTGGAAAAGGGGAAAAGCGGCGAGGGGTGCGAAACAAGAGTGAGAGAGAAAAAACTCCGAGCTTAATATAAAACTTCATTTCGCAATCGGCAGCAGCCGGAGGAAACGCGAAGATCCGACACGCAGAAATTCCACAGTCGTCACAAAAAAGGGGGAACTTTGAGAAAAGGGGTGGGAGAGAGAGAATCTTATTTTTCCGGCATTAAGTTTTTCGTGGCGAGAAGCGTTGTTCCAAATATAACTTTTTACTTTCGATAAAAATGCAATACGACCGAAATAAAAAAAAAAAAAAAAAAAAAATTCCAACGACGAATTTTCGCCAACGTCGAAGAGCGGCGAATCGTTTCGAGATTAATAAAGCGCGAAATACATACAGAAGATCCGAAAATTATCGCGTCGCGCAGTTTCCTCGCGGAGGAGAATATCCGTTATCGGAAAAACTCCGGCTTTCTCTCTCTCTCTCTCTCTCTTGCGCGGCGCAAAGAGAGTAAAATAAAAGAATCCGCCGAAGAAAGATAGCGCAGAGTCGCTTTTATCGCGCGAAACGCGGGCAACTGTGTCGATCTGAGGAGAATTCATCCCCTTTCCTCCCTCTCGTCGTTCCTTCCTCAAACTTTTCGTCCGTATATTTCGGGCCTTTCTTCCTATATATGTTTTCAGGGTGAGGCGCCTGAAGAATGAGCGAGAGAGAGAGAGAAAGAGGGTGAGTTCCGAACATCGGTGGCGCGAGCGCGGCGCGCGCGATGAAACTTTTAATAAATGGCAGAGTCGATATGAAGTATAGGACTTTGACATATCGTGTGTCTGTAATGTATAGTTAAATCTGGTGGCAGATGTGGAGGGTGTTCTCTCCGTTCTCTCATTCTCTCCACCCTCTGCGTTCGCTCTCGTCCTCTCTCGCTCTTCCAGGACATCCTCTCGCAAACCTCCCTCTTAACCATCCGCTTTGCGCTTCAGGATGGACGCTCTTTCTCTCTCTTCATCCCCTCCTCTATCGCGGAAATTTCCTTTTAACCCACTGACGCAATTGAATCTATCATTAATGCGATCTCGAAGAAAAGTTTGAAATTAAAGAGTAAATCACGTTTTACGTGTAAACAAAATTGAAGAAAATTTTCACTCATTCTCTATTATATTTCTCATTTTTTATTAAATTTTTATAATAGTTTTTCCATATTTGTTGATTGAATATTTATTTTTAATTTTGTGAACGTTGTTATTAAAATTCAGACTGTCATAAGTTCTATAAAAGAGATTAATAAAAGAAGTTGATATATGCTTATATAAAGTACATCTCATTTTTAAGCTCAACTAACAATATTTATTATGTTATTTCAATTGCTTAATAAATATATTAATAGAAGCTGCATTAACTTTATTAAAGTTGTAAATGCAATATAAATAGATTAGAAAAATTCAAATCAATTCTACTATTATAGTAACATAAAATTTGTTGATATTCCCGTTTTATTTTTGCTATTTTTAATAGAAACTTTTATTTTTGAAATAAAATTGTAAAATTAATGTCAGTACAGGCCACATGTGATTTAATGTATTATTATGTTTTGATGATTTTAAAATAAAAATTTATAATATTCATTAACATCCGAATAATTTTATGCTCTTTAGTTGGCCTGTACTGACATTAATTTTACAATTTTATTTCAATATATAAGAGCGTTATAATTTTTACTAATTTATTATTTTTTATCTTTACTCTAACATAATTGGCCGCAAAATGCCTGAGACATCCTGGATAAAGTTAAGAATAACACTGTACAAACCTACACATTCATCTTTGTCATTCTAAGACAACATAAATTCAACCTGCTCCGCTCTTTATTTAGTTTAACAATCTGCAATACGTTGTAGGTATTCTCACGCTAAAGGGGATCGATTGAGGCGAGTAAACGACTTTGCTTCATGCGGACCGCTCGATGAGGGTAGTGCTGCGAATTTTTTTTTCTTTGGAAGCGACAGTGAACTTTTCAATCAAACTGCCTGTCTAAATGAAAGCTCCTCCACAAAGCGAATCAGGGTAATCTGTCATGAAAACTGCTCCGCGACGAGCCGTCGCAATACCAGTCGGCGCCCCCAGCAACCCCGACCGTTGCAATAACGACAGGGCTGCATTCGATCCATAAACCGATCCAATTCAAATTCTCTCTTGAGGGAACATTTTGGATAATATCATATTCGCATGATTTAAATGTCAACGTATACAGAGTGTCCGATAATAATGGCTTTCCTACTTGGTTTAACCCTCTCCATATGAAAACGACGGAAACTTGGTTGATATGTTTTCGTACGTATTAATGAACACATAAATACGCTATTAACATTGTTACTGGTAAATAATAAAATCGGAGCACAAGAAAATGAAATATGAATACCTGTGAACACACACAGAGCTGCGTTTGCGTGACATTCCCCTGCGATCGTTCCGCCGATTCGCGGATGAATTCGCGGTATCACACGCGTGGAGCCGTTAATAAAAGCGAGAGACTGTCGTAGCTCGATTCGGATGCTCATCCGGCGAAGGTGGAGGACCGCGTGGCCGAGCACGTGAGAAAGTTCCCCACCACTCGACGGGATACCGAACGACGCGCTCGCGCGTACCGCCCACAGTTGCGCCGGGTAACCGTGGCCGCCCAAACGAGCCTCGTGCTCGTCCGCACCGAGAGAGTCGCCCGCCTGCACTCTCACGGCACGGACCTGGTCGTCCGTACCCTCCTGGTCGTGGGTGCCCTCCGAGCCCTCCAAGGCCACCGTCGCCACGACAGGGCAGCCCGCCTACGTCGGCGGAGGGCTGTACCTCACCACTCGCGTTACCGCTTCGGGATTGGTCGCCCCGTTCCCAACGAACGGTGTCACGTGACCGGGGCTGCCGCCACATTAAAGGACGACTTCCACCTTCGATGCCGAAGTGGACTCCTAGCCACCCCCTCCCGGAACGGGGAAAGAGACAGCAGTAACAACAGAGACACCGGGAACGTCGGGAGAGGCGAAAAAGATCGTAGGAAATTTCGGTCGACTGGAGACACGACCGTCTCTTTCTACAGGACGTCCTTCGGGTCACCTCTCCTATCGCGCCTCGTCGACGAGTACCTCCACCACAGGGACTTTTCGGACCCCCACCTTCCCGCGGCCGCTATCTCTCCGCGTCCTCTCTCTCTCCATCGTCACTTAGCGAGTGTACCGCGGTATCGGTGACTGCTTGGTGTACCCTAGCTCACCTTGCCTGGGTTTCGGCCGATCGGTACGGCGACGGTAGCCGCACGATTCGGCACGGCGTTCTCCGTCGATCGGTCGGACTATCGATCAAACGTCATCGCGACTACGTGTGACTAGTGGTGATCTGTGTCCTGCTTGTTTGCATCATCGAGACCGTAGATCTATGGATCTTGCCCCAGACGCGTCGATCGCGAGTATGCAGTGTCATGTCCGTGTCGTCCGAGAGTCTGCTTTTCGTTGGTACCGAGTTTAACGTTACCCGACAGTTATTTCGGATCATTCGGAGCTATATGCACGGATATATCATTTATACGATGATGTATCGTGGTGAGTACCGTAGTGTGCAGTGAATATGCGGTAAACAATTTGTATTTGGTTCGCCAATCGACGTGTACGATTTACGCTCGAGCTATAAGTAAGTAATGAGTGTTTCGATTTAGAGAGAGAGCGATGCTGAAGAGGGAGACGCATGAAGCAGAAAAGTGATTAGTTTTGTGTCAGTTAAGATAGAGGATGAGTAGAATTTTGTATCGTATATGCACTAATAATAATCATATACGAAAGAAAAGATAGGTCGCTATAATCAGATTCATGCCGCTTTTATCCTTTTCGAAGGCAAATTTCGTCTAAATAAATTTCTGCAGTCGCTACAATGAAACGATGTTTTAATATACACGCACAGTACGTGGTTAGAAAATAGACGAGGATTCAAGAGTGAAACTTTTATCGAGTGAGTTTCGGTGAGTTCTTAGTGTGTTCTTCAAGATACGAAAAAAAAAGAGATTCTACCGAAAAAAATATCGAAAAGATAGATCGGTCAGTTTTTTCCGATTTCTCTGCAATTGGCGATAAATTATTTCCTGGTTACTAGACGTTCATCACCTCGGAAGATCGAAAACTGCAGATATAAGTTAGCGCGTTCCATGCGCAATAAACCACAAGCGCTGGTACACCTTGAAGAAGATTTGCGCCAAACGCAGTTGCCCAACTCCAGCAATCTGCAGCTCGGCAATCATCTTCAGAATTTAGTACACGTAAGCAAAGAGCTCTCGACCGTGAAGACGAGGCCGACGACACCCGTCCTGGCGAACGACGGAGGGGGCGGCTTCTGGCTGGCCACAGTGGCCGCGGGGGCGAGTACCCCAGCCGGGCTGCCCCCGCACGGGACCCATCATCCAGCCATGGACCCGACATGCGGATCCGCCGAAACCGGCTTTATCAACAGCCAGCCCTCCATGGCCGAATTCATGACGGCGTTGCCGCAATTAGCCGGGGACAGCAGCCTACAACACTCACCGGGGACCGGTGGATCCATCAGTCCTGGCGCTCATCATCCCGCATACCACACCATGATGGATCCCCACGGTGTCGCTGACCCCTCGGGTGTCAATGTTCCTGAATATCCTTGGATGAAGGAGAAGAAAACCACTAGGAAAAGTAATCAGCAGGGTAAGTCTCTCATCGAGATCGTCTCGACCATCATCTCGGTACAAGAAAGACTTTCAAGGTCGCGAGAAATTGATATACGAATTTTAAGATAAAGAAGTATCTTTGAATCGCAAAAATGCTCGTATTAATTATTACAATATTATATCTTCTTATCAAAAAATATTTTTTTACAATATAAATTGGATCTCTTATTAATAATCAATACTTAATTGAAATAAAATATTTCTCATATACGCTTTTTTTAATTTTCATCTGTAAAAGATGAATGGAAAATGTTAATTAATCGGCGGCTACGTTCGAATTAAAATTAATTAAAATTATATTGACTAAAAATTGTAGTGATATAAAATATTGTATAGAGATATGAAGTGGGAAATTGACCGCATGATTTTTATCGAGATTTATCTTGGATCGCAATTAGAAATTTGTCACAGTCGTAAAGTGACAAACATGAAAGTCAATTAACAGTGGCTGTTAGGATTCGGCGCGCCGTTTACAACATTAGAAGTCTATTGGCTCCTCGCCGCTACATTGTGGCTCGCCACGGGGTGCCTAGTATCCGACGGCTAATGACAGTTTCAAGCTATTCCTTTCCTACTACCGGTGCCGCACATCTGGAATGCATAGTAGGCTAAAACCACACATTTCCAAACATTCGCAAATATTGGAAAGCAAATTGTGATATACTATCTTTTAGTCGAACAACGGCTTTCCCGACAAAAATGCAGCTGCTCATACTGTATTTTATACTTTATACGATTAGTTTGTATTTTTTATAACGCCTGTGTGTGTTCGATATATTAATTTACGTACGAAATTAATGATTTGTATATTAAGAAGTACATATTTTATTATATCGCGTTCTTTATATAATCATATAAAAATTCGCTGAGATTTTCTGCATTGTACGAAAAGTTTTGTGAATTATATAATTCTTGACTACGTTAAATCGGAGAGATTATCTATTAATTTTTTTTCTATTTTCGTTTCTCCAATAATTTGTATCGGCTATCGCGAGGTTATCGAGAAGGACCAATGGAATCTATGGAGAGACTCGCGATACAAATTTATTGGTTCTCGATAGCCCCGCAATAGCCAACAAGTTGTTGGAAAACGAGTGCAAATATTTTTCCGGCTCAACGTAACGAAGATAATTCTCGCGAAACTTCCAGCAGGACTACTAACTCGTACTTTATTTTCCACGTATATAATAAACGCAACGCAAAATAAACGGAGCGTGCGAAAAATATTTATTTATAGCGCGCGTTAATTTTACATGAAAATTGACGGTTCTCCCGTCATCAACAACACACGCGTGTATTGTATATTGATAGCACACGATTCGAAGGGTCGCGGTTAACTTTATGGGCCACTAGGAACCCACCAAATGATCCGGTAATCCTACGTCTTGGTCCATTTATCTATCCCGGTTTCTCTTTCTTTTTCACGTTGATCTCTCGCGTCTCTACAACGGCGATTTAACGTCGCGCCAACTCCAAAACGCGGTCGGACGGTCCGCAGGACACGTCGGAAGATTAAGTGTTTGGCACGGAGGTTAACCAGCCGCTGGCCAGGCGGTAACACGCGGAATCATCTGTAAATTGAGCTCTGGACTAACGGGAGAGAGCGTCGGGACGGCCATAACTCACATGGGGTGCCGCCACCGACGCCTCGTACACGTCGGCTCTTTGCTTTCAACTACCGTGTTATCCCTTATCGTGGGCTGCCCCGGTCATCTCTTTGTGATTTGCGAGCCTATCGTACCTCTTTACAATTATATATTCTTGGTGGAAATGAAAAAAAATTGCGTCTACTGAAATCTGATTAATAATTTTTTTCGAAATGTACGTACGATTGAAATATTTGCAAAATATAATATTATTATATAAAATACAATTTTCTATCTCAGCTTTATATACATAGAGTTTAGTTTTTTACATATTAATTTTGCTGAAATTGCTCCTTCTTTGTTTCAAGCTGGCATTCGTTAATGAATTATATCCAGCCGGAATTAAACTCATTATCCCGTTATTAGGATTTTAACCGTCGAGAATCCATACTAGAACGAATATGTGCCCAAGACGGCGTTATCTCCTTCCTCCGAACGGTATGTGTCGTACGAAACCTTAAGTAACATCTCGTCTTTCCGTATGTGTCACCATACTGCGCGTATTAAATTTCAATCTGTTACATCTACGTGCCCTCCAGCTGAGAGATGTTTTAGTTCGGGGACGTCGCGGATGGGACGATGAACGAGGACGAGGTCTGATTAGTTGAGTTATTTGCCAGGAGAGGAAGGCGCGACACCGATGCTTCCATGCTTCGTCGGTAATTCTTGCTGGATACCTTTTCTACAAAAAAGCCACGAATCTACGAGTGTTTTTCCCGACGCCTTGTTCCAGGCGTCTCATCAGTCACGTCGCTGGGTGCCAAAGCGGAGGCGTCAGCCCAGCAGACTCCTCCAAGACGCCGATGTGTCAATTAATCCCTGCATCCCTCGGGGATAGGACTAGGCTAGAAGCTGGATTATCATCATCTCCTCTCCTCAACGTCGCTATCTTCCGCTATCTCCTCCGTCTTACACCCTCCTGCGGGACGGCCATTTTCGTGCGGCCGAACTGCTTCTTACTAAACTACTGTCTCATCGGCCCGCGTTTCCGCCATTAATTAATATAACGGTGATACTTGACGCCACTAATAGTCTAGCTCGACGCGCTTGCAAATTTGCTAAATAAAATTATGCGAACGTGGATTTTGGATTCCGCATATGGATGGAGACGAGAGTAAGACGGTTTTATTTAAAGAGACGAGTTTTTTTTTTTTCTTCAGAAAAGCCTACGGCAGAAAAGACACAAATATCGGTAAGCGGAGCGAAGCTCTCCGAAGGGGGATGGCGTAAAGGCTCGATAACGAAAGAAGGGTGGAAGGAATTGACTATACTACGGCGATTCCATGATATAGGTGATTGAGCGAGCGGGACTTTACCCTCCGGGGAAGAGCGCAGTACGAGAAGAACGGAGCATCTAATTTAAAGATTCATTGGCGAGTAAATCCTCGCTGAATTAGAGATAACTCTCCTAGAAAATCCCAGCTACTATGATACTCCGTAGCCCGCTGTCGCCGCGGTTACTCGTGGAGAGAAAAAGAGTCTTAAGGCGACGATATCCGTGAAAACGAATTCAATGTACGATAAGGTACACTGAAGAAAAATATCTTCGCCGATATAAATGATTAATTTGTTATATATGGTCTTAGAAATATTGCGAAAAATTTTTATTATTAATTATCATTAATATTTATGTCCATATATTGATTTATAATATTTTTATTTTTCCGAGTATCGTCTAAATTGGTCAAAATAAATTCACAGATTAAGAAAAACGTAATATGTCTAAGACTGCATTGTCGACTACCTTCAAATACATGTATTACATTATTAAAGCGTTGTTAGTGGCACTTAACAGCGGCACGAAATGACTGTAAATATTCGACGCGGTGCTTGTGTCTGGACCTGACAAAACGAATTATGGAGAGGAAGAGCCGTGCAGTTCCCTTTCGCAGTTCGTATACAGTTTTCTCAGTTCGTTGGCGCAAACACATCGCAGGAAGAATAAGGCCGCATAAAATATTCCGGATTATCCCCGAAAACTATACTGACTAGGAGTACGACACTTTGCAACTGCAGAGGATTTCAGCGACGAAACGCAGGGATGATTCGCCGAGAGAGAAGCGGAGCTCAAATAATAAACACGCTATAACAAATTGATAATCGGAGATCCCATAATCGTACGCGTGTTTGGCAGCGAAATCTGCAACCCCGACACTAAAAGAAGTTTTCACGCTCGTTGTTACGTCAAATGGACCGCTATAAAAGCGTGGGGTTCGTCCCGCTATATTCTCTCTCCTTCTTTTTATCGTTCGCTCTCGTTTTCTCTACGGTAAGATCGCGATCTGATTTTCAGAGAGAGAGCAGAGGGAGGAAGGGGATGAAAATTCTTATATATGCTGCCAACATTTCCCCGACACAACGGCAGAGATAAATAAAAATAATCTATCCATTATTAATCTTGATGAAATCGCGACTCTGTGAAAAAATGTATTTGCGTAAATATAGGATCACAGAAGTATAATGCGAGCCAATTTCGGAGGATACTTGTATGACGCTTTATAAAGAAAGTGAAACAGTCGCGCTTTTCCGCGGCGATAATAATTTTATGCAAATGTTCGAAGTTGATGCTCCCTGGAATGGCGACGATATCGTAAGATAGACATCTCTCTCTCGCCATACTTCTCGTATCTTCCCCTTTCTAGCGGGGAATAAAAGACGCGTTGCGGGGATTCCTCTATATCTGTTCTTCTACGCTCGTAAAAGGAAAGTAGGTGTAAAAATTTGCAGAAAGAACGCGATAACATACGCCGATGGGTTAACCATAAACGATCGTAAAGAGAAACACTTACTCCTTATTTGAGCGCAATGGCGAGTCAACGACTATTTTAATTGTATACACGCAACTCGACAGCAGTGCGGAAAATTATTCTATTTTTTAAATCAGATTAATTGGAAGTGAAGTCCGCTTTCACTAAGTTTCTCCAGTTTACGTGACATTTATATTTCTTCTAAAGTAGCCCTCGCGTTTCTGCTCCGTAATCTTTATCTCGAGCACATATTTCTATATTTGAATATATTTATTCGAGCAAAATATATATATAAACGTTTATTAAAAATATCTGGAAATAAAAATATATCCTAAAATTTTATATTTTACACAAAAATAGGTATATCCTTCATCGTTCGCGTTCAAACAATTCGCAGTCAGCAACTTCGCAGTCTAATAAATTGTCAAACTGTTTATAAATGGTTTATATATTAGCAGGTTCCACGATTCCGAGATGCGAGTGAGAATTTGAAAGGCACTTGAGCGGTGGAAGAGAGGGATGGTTAACAGATGATGAGAGCAATGATGGATGGAGACGTCGACAAGTCACGAACTCCACGTGACAATGGGAATCAAAAATCATTATCTAATGCTGAATCCTACGCTTCATCTTTGAATTTTAATATAAATTCCGGGACTTCCGTATGTAAAACAATATTTAACAAAATTTACATAACATTTTCACGCATTCCAACGAGAAACATAATTTTTTCTCAACCTGACATCTCTTAGGTAGAACAAATAAACTGTATCGCTATCGTGATAAATTATCTACAGCCATAAGTTTCGCAAGCCATTAGATACTTCCTATCGCGAATTCGTAGATCTGGAGATAGGTGACCCGGGGCAGTTGCCATATACTTTTTGTCACTACCATCCCGGAAGAGATCTCACCCCCACCCTACATCCGTGCTTTATATTAAAAATGAACTGTCGCTTCCACTGACGACATGGACGGGTATTTGACTGTACTACCGCTTTTATTTGATAAATCGCGCCTCCTCTCTCTCTCCCTCTCGGTCATCTGAATTTCTAATGCATTATTTTTCCCGGTCGGAACCATCCGCCCATGGCTACGTCGAGTCGCGAGGGTGAATCGCGACCGCGCCAGACCGAAGGGGGGTTGGTTGAGGCTGAAAGAACGATTAAGGATAAAGCGGTGGAAAAGAGCGATCGGGGACGAGCGATCTTGGACGCGACTGCGAGATTTCTAGTAACCGCGCGACGATTACTACCAATATTTATATTCGAGTGTATCACGTAATCGCGCTAGGAGAAAGCGATGGATTATCTCGATTATTCGCCTGGCACGCTTCACGTTTGATTGGAGTTTCGCCAGCGTGTGAGGGGACCTTCTTTCCCTGGAAATAGGGGGATCAACAAGTTCGCGTAACGATTTTAACGTTTCGTAACACGTAATATTGCTGTCTTCAATGCTACCTGTCATATTTCTCCAAGATTTGTCGCGGTCCACTTGGATTTCACTGTGTGCACTTTCTAAACGATTAATCAACTTTTAAAATAGAAAAAATAGATAAATATTATAAATTTAGAATAGAACACATTTTTTTTATATATATATATCAGAATGTAAGATTGAGTTTAAGACAAAAATATAAATGTCTTGCGTTATATATTAATTTTATACACGCGAGTATAAAGTAATTTAGAAAACGCTCTGTGCTTCCTTCCTACCTGTTAACCCCCCTTCTTCCTGGAGTGGATCAACCAAAACCTGTTGCCTGTAATGGGCCTCACAGAGCGATAAAAAGTTTTCAACTCTACAGGAGCAAAAGCCTACATTTCTTCTTCGCCGACAGTTTAGCTTCATAATGCAAAGTCGCGAGTCATTCGGTGATCAAAGTGCCGCTCTCTCTCTCTTTCTCTCTCTTTCTCTTACTGGGTACGCTTTCAAAAGCCATTCTGACGTTTCTTTGAGTGGCCATCGGACGTAACATCAGGACATTGACACAAGGAAGCACCGTTTTGCGAGACACAAGAGACGGTAGGACCACAGCGGTGGTATGACACGTCTTTTCTATTCGTTTTAACGACGGAGAATTGCATCCTCTTCGGATGAGTAAACTCTCGTCTGAATCATCGCACCTTAATCTATAATTTAGCAATTTGAACCTAAATTATCAACAACAACGGAGAGCGTTAAGTAATAACAGGTCGCGCTATTCATCACGGAGAGAGATGCAAACGGTGTCTCGCAGCAAATCTCGAATTTTTGTTAATCGTCGAAAAAAGGATCGCGACCGTTGTACATCATCCCGAGGACTACTTCGCGATTTTCGCACGCCTGTTAATACGAAGAATCGCATTGAATTCCGCGAAGTAGATTCGAATTATTCGAAATATTCTTTTCGGCTAAATATCGCATTAACACAGATTTAAAATTAACTTAGCGGCAATCACGCGGACATTTACAACCATCGTGGACTAAGTACTTTAGGGTACATTAGCCCCGAGAGCAATGGAGAGCTCACCCTACTCTATCGTCTTTTCTTTCGCGAAGACAACGCACGGTTACGCTAGGGTGGACGCTGTAGGTCTAACGGAAAGAGAGAACAGGAGAAAGAGAGTGAATATAGGGGGAAAGGACGGAGGGGAAATCGTCGGAAGGGGGAGTGGAGCTGTCTGGAGTAATTAGCTAGCCAGGCCAGGCCAATATCGCGCTGAAAGATTTTCAAATCCCCGTCGTCGAGTTGGATCCGGTCGCGACGGGAAAATCCAACCCGTGCCACTCTGTTTATAAAATGTCAGGGCGCCAATAAAAAGTCATGCTACATCAAACTTCGACAGTAATAACGGTAAAGGAGAGAGAGAAAGAGTAAAGTGGAAAGTTCATTATCAACTCGCACAATTATCGAGAAATAGATCTTTAGCCCCCTGTATCGTTTCTGAAGGGTGTCGTATGAAGAATGAAACCCCTTAGAGTGACCTTCTCTCGGGATGCCTTTGAAAAAGGTTATTTTTTTCTTAAAGAAGGAGACATGAGATCACTATATTCTAATAAAGAACTTTTCGTGTGAAAACTGTCGCTGTTGTTGCAATTTTATATAAAATTCTTTAATATTACTAATTATTTAATATTACATAAAGATTATATCAGAAAATGTTTCTTCCTGTATATTTTTCTTTTCTCATTCTTATGTAATTTTACATTTTTGGTCTTATCGAGTTTAATGTTAATTAGCTGGAAATGTTTACGTCTAACAAAATTCAATAAAAATGATTCGAGACAGATTCTTCGAGTCGAGATGTGTCGCGATCTTATTTTTCTATTAATAAACGAAAACTAGTTCTTTGTTTGGGCTGTACATCTGTATGTCCGCAACGCGCGGAAAGGCCGAATAGAATCCTCAGACTTGGCAAGATAATGGAAAGAACAATTCCGTAGAATTGGATGTTAGTGCTCGGCTTCAATCGATTGTCAGGATGACAGTCCAAGCATGAC